AGGGCTGAGTGGGGTGTGGCCAAACGCACTCTCGCGGCCCTTCCAATGACAATAGCAGCAACCGCCCGCCCCCAGCCACCGTGCCTACCACCTCTAAATGTCTTGGGTGCCCTAAACAAAACGACTACATATTAGACTAGCGCTCTAGAACATTACGCAACCTTACAATCAAACTGATCTGCTCACCTGGAACGAATCCTTCAAATCCGTCACCAACCCTAGTGGATTACCGAACGCATCTAATGTCACGACGATGTTCAACGTCTGCTTTTGGAGTTCAGCTAAAAGCGAAGGCATTTAATAAGCGCATGAAAAACGCCTTGTTAAAAAATTCTCACCAAAATAGAACTTCTGAAGACTTTCCAGAAGAAATGAACTGGTCTCAAAATAGTGGAACTGACGGAACGGTGGTAAATAGACGGCGGCATTTTCAAATGAAACTAATTTCATATTGAACTGCTGCTTTAATTGCCGACATTCGGGTGGAAGGCTCGATTTCGACACGGTGACAACTGGAATAGTAATACCATCAGTGATATTTTAATGAGAAGCAGTTCAATAAGCCTAAAAAGTAGTACTCACCGCTCAAGGCAATTTGTCCCATTTCCAAATCTAACGTACCAAAGTACCACCGTCTTGTTCGCATGGATCGGTCCGCTCCAGACTAAAACGCTACGCTTAGAGGCATTGTCAACAACAACAAGGGGATTTGCTTCATGGGAGTCAAGCGAGCAGTTGAACATCTCCCAGCTGAGGAGTCCAACTAATGAAAAAAAGAAAAAAAAAAAAAAGCAAAAGGTGACGGAAAGGCCCTCAGTAAGATCCTCATTTTCGCGGCTACACCTAGCCTGCGGATGAAAAACTAGAAAAGACACAAAAAACGAGATGTACCTCCATACCCCTTGAATAAACTTTCGACGGACCTCTTCCACCTGTGACGGTGGGAGTGGTGAACAGAATAAGCGGTAGTATTTTGGGTTTTCCGCGGAAAAGTTTGTAGAAAGTTGGGAGAATTTAGGAAGATGGTAGGTAGCGGGAAAGGCGAGTTGTACCATTTGAGATAAATTCATGAGGAGGATGGGGGCGTATTTTGCAAGAATTTTTCCCCACACCGACAGGTTATGCATGCCCTGTTGCTGAATCTGATTCTCAAGTTACTTCAACAACTTTCGTCCAACCCCACACGGGACGGGGGATGCAAGCGGAATTATTATAATTTGGAGCTGGAAGTACGGAGCTGAAATATCGTCTTTCATATCTCCCAACTTCCATTTTCCTCCCGTCTTCAACTTTTTCCCTTTCTTTCAATCTTCTATCTCGCTCATAAAGTTCCGAAGTTTTTCTACGAACTGACGTACTCTGTATTGGGCGGCAAACTTAGTGTCCGTTGCTGAACGCTAGAGGCTGCATTCTGAGGCCTGTGCGAATTGTACCAGTTTCCACAGAAGTAGCTCGTCCAACTGCACGTCCAAATCGCATAGCTTCACGCGGAAGCACTGAAACAGATCCACTTGGTACTGTAGCTTGTACTTGTGGTCTACGCACCAGATTCTACTAAGTGAATTTAATCCTTACAGTCTTACAGCAATTTCTGGATATCTATTATTTAAGAGCTGTAAGAGAAAAAAAATCGATATATACGTCTTCTGGGGGCAGTTCGACGACGGGGGGGGGGAGCATTTTGCACTTTTGCTACTTTCCATCGACGAGTCGACCCATCTAGACAGCCTCTTCACGAGTTAATAAATTTTACCTGATGGCTCGACGGGGCATGCGACAAGGGCATCGTAATTCGCCGCGCCAGTGGGCGTCGCGTACGACGCCGCGCTCGCTGACGACAGGATCTAGGTCATACTTGGCGAGAATAGACAATGTTTGACCAAAAACATCTATAATTTACGATATCCTAGTCTACATAACTCCGATGCTCCAGTCGGAAGGCTAGTGCAAATTAAGAAGACGTCGCGCCTGTCGCCGCGTGCGACGAAGCGGCAGATTACGATTCTCTTGTCCGCCTCCCGGCTTGACGAGCTTACTCCAGCTTCACAAGAGTTCACAGGTTCACCAGAGTGAGACTTGTAAACCGGAACTAGTGAAGCAACGAAAGTGCAAAATGACCCCCGTTGCCGAACTGCGCCCGTCTTCTGATCCACAAGTTACCGCATTGCACGACAACAAGTGATACGGTACAAGAAAACAAGCAATGACTCTCTTCACAAGAAGATCTGTACAGTAAACCAAAAACTTACATCAAAGGCATCGTAGTGCTTCATCGGTGTGCAGTTCATTTCCAACTTCAATGCTGGCCTTGCAGTTCCAGATACCTGCAAAATAAAGACCCCTATGGTACACCGTCCATTAGGAAGTAGTAAAACCAATTCTGCACACGTATAAGGCACAAAATCAGAATAGTCAAGCCGGTGAAAGCGGCAAAAAACACTCACGCCAGGTGGAAGATCACCATTCGCCCATGGAGAGTGAGAATCGTCATCTGGCATGAGAACTTCCGGTTGACAGTAGAGGACTTGCCATTTATCAGAATTCAAAAGCTGATTGTCAATCTAAACTCTGACGAATAGAAACATAAATAGTGCTGTCTTCTAGAAACAAGACAACAGATTACTTAATTTTCAAAAATATCAAAGTGTAGGACGCGGTGTAGTGGTCAAGTGGTGCGCTTACCACAAGCGCGGTCAAGTCCCGACCAGCTCCCGCCCAGGTAACCAAGCTTTCGATTCTCTAGAGACAGTCAACTGGTACAAGATTTGCCTAGGTGGATGGAAACGTTGACTTGAACATCGGCTTGCCCACGCAAGTTATTGTATAGGCTATTCAATAATCCGCTACGATTCTGTACTGAAGTAGAATGTGTAGCGCATCCCAGCTAAGCTGATAAACCGCAATCTTTCATCCCTCACCATCTAGTTCGTCAAAATCATTTTTGATGAAAAAACGTGCGCATTCCCAGTAACTACCCTGAATCTACGGCAGGGGTCACTTTAGTGCGCTGGGCCACGCTTCTAGGGGCTGACACATGTGGTCTACGGCTTTCCACCACTCAGGTCACTACTGCCAAAATTTCTTTCTCTAGTACGATCCCACTTTCCCA